ACCCTTTAAACACTTATTATGATTATCGAGCTCTTCGAAGTCTGCCGAAGACATGAATAGCTCGAAGCCAATCTTAACTATTTTAAAAGATTGTGGCACTACCTAAAAACAAAGTTTTGCTAGCAAGAAAGAATGAATGAATTTATTCTACATGCTGCTTTGTTGAAAATATTTAGACATTTCCCCCAACAACTTAAACTGCCTATAGAAAATGCACATTTATGTGTAGATGAATAAACACGCTAATTACTACCCTACCTTACCTAAGGAAAGAGAGTCGTTTATCGTGCTGGTGTTATAGCGTAGATTTTGAATTGCACTGAGTATAACCTTCATGTACGTCTTGTAATATCTTGCTGTTATCAATATGCTCGTTTTACTTGTGTTCCTCGTGTGAATATAGACAAATTCGTGTGTGTCCACGCCATTGTTGTTGAAATCAACAGAAGAATAAACAAGATGGCTCATTCTCTCACGTCTCTTTTTTTTATTGCTTGAATCCACTTGTTGACAAGACACTGAAGTTACAAAATCCCCCAAAACTGAATTTTTTCGTTTAAATTAATGTTAAATAGGCTACTACTAATGCAAGACTCAAAATCTTTTTGTAGTATAGCCAATATTCCATGTCTGTGTAGTGTCTGAAATGGAAAATGCAGGCAACAATAATTAAACATTATGATGTTTTTATCATTAAAAACTACGCTGGGCATTAGAGTATTATTTGTACGAATGTATGTTCATACAAACACTTCAAGCTTTGAAAGTTTGTCTCCACATTAAAAAAAACAAACAAACAATGCAACTATACAAATAGCCAAGTCAACTACTATTATTAGGGGTTTCAAGGGTTGACTTTTAATGAGACGTTTAATGAGAAATATTATTAGTTCAAGCAAAATGGCGTGATCTAACTACATAATTTAAATCAGATCAAATTGTGCAAAATATCATGCTTTTATCATTCAATTTTGGTTTCAAGTACTTAGCATGTGATTATGTTGAAAATTGATAAATTTCAACATAATCATGGGCACATAAAATTAATTTTCTCTCAATTATTTTAATTTGACTTCATCTTAAATTAAAAAGAAAAAAACGTTGTCTTTCTCTTTATTAGCGTGTACTTATTTGAACAATGCCTAAAACTTGGTATTACAAGCATTTCCTGTGTCTGTTTGCCTCTTTAAGAAGAATCGCTTTATGTATTCCCCAATTGTAAGTCGCTTTGGATAAAAGCGTCTGCAAAATGACTAAATATAAATGTAAATGTAATTTCAGTTATTTTATACAATTCCGCCTCTCGTTACAATCACAATCACCCGACAACGTATATTTAACAAAAATCTTTACGTCAGTACCAGTAACAGTTCCAAATAATAGCACAAAATAATAATAAGATTTAAAGTACACTTTGGCTTCTGTTGTAAGAGGCTTTACTCGAAGCAAAATAACAGCACTGGGAAACATATGAGCGGACAGGTCGCAGGTCTCGGCCTTGTTAGTAGACATTGAAGGAATCTCATTGTTCCTCACCTGTGCTGGTTTTCTATAATGGATAACTGATGAATGTTACTAAATTCCTGTAACTATTCTCACAAATACAGGCTACTCTTTTTACATGTTTACGATTTTTAGTCTTCTCTGGTCCAGCATACAGACCAAACTGTTGTCTAACTAAACATAAACTTTACCTTCCATGGCCGTGGGACGCTTTACAAACTATTTATATACAAAAACGCACAACTGAAATACTTATTTAGTGCAAGTTTGGATGTTTACTGAAGGCGCCTTCTAGAGGACAGATGCGCTAGAATATTGTCAATGTCAATGCCTGTCATATTCAAAGACGAGAGGACCCATAAGCAATATTTACATTTGCCTAACATTGCATTTATTTATCAGACAACAAAAATATGACAGAATGTGCCGTGGGAACAGGAGATTTCCAATAGCTACAAACGTGTATTTAATCCATGTTCATGGTAATGTGTTGACATTTAAATGTTCATAAATATATTAAAATATTAGAAAATCCTGGTGTGGCCTACCTTACGCGTGAGTGTTGAAACTCTCTTTTACAACTTTTAATGGCTGGTCATAACAGTAGTCTAAGTGCCCAATAAAGCAGCCACAATTAGGCGAGTCGATGACATCACAAAGACGAGGCTAATATAAACAGAACATGGATATAATAATAGAATATCAGAATTTACTTTTAATACCAGTGAGATTTACTGGGTATTATAGGCAAATAGCTTGCAACGTGCCAAAGCACAGCCAAGTAAGGTACTCAAATGTGAGATATTTACAAACGAATATTACAATTCTGTATCTCAAAACATAAATCGATACGAATGATTAAAGTGTAGCTACAGACAGGCGCTTAAAATCTCGATATAAGCGACATCTGCATATGATACTTTAAAATTTTTTTTTTTTTTAAGTGCAAAGCTAAGACTTTCGCACGTTTTCTTGGATTTGCATGTATGCAATAATCTAGTACTGATAGTAATAATAACGTAAGCTGTAAAAAGTGGTAACCTGCAATTGTTACAATAACTATTTCTACCTCATTTAATCCATAAAATGAGTTTTGATGGTAAAAATGAATGTATTTAGGTTGATTCAGTTATGTTAAATAATATGTTTTACTTGAATAAAACCAGTTAACAGGGATATTAACAATTTTAAGGTACCATTTTGAATGTAATTGTTCATTTCACTCTCCTTTTGTTGTTATGGTGTTGGATTGTCCCCTGTTGTAAAAAAAAAGAAAAAAAAAGATATTTTTAGTTAAGGCATAGACAGTGACAATTGTAGTGGTCATTGTCCATCCGCCTTGCCTTTGTATTGCACTGCTGTTACATTCCAAATGAGGGCTTTACTATACCTGCAGTAAACTTTATTGGTGGTGTAAACCCGACAGTGTCGCATCCGGGCAGACGTTTTTGCCTTTTGATTTCTGTGCAGTGCAGACAAGCTAGAACAAGACACAAGGAAAGCAACGTGGACGTGGGACTGCTTTAAGTGTATGTATGCATGGGTGCATGTATATGTTTGTGATGTATTTTATTTATTTATTTAACTTTTATAATAGTGGAAGTTGTCATATGTACTCATATTTACTCTATTTGTGGTTGTTGTGCTATATTAAATTAAGAAAATAGTAGTGAAAATTGATTAATTAAAGGGAAAAACTTACCCGGCTCTTTGGCCATGCGCTTCAGTTAAATAATAGTGCTATTTTTTATTTATTTTTTAAATATTTTTTTCTAAATGCAGAATTCGATATTTGTATATCCATTCGCATAGTGTTTATCTTTGTGTTAAGAAACTAAAAAGATATAGGGTGAAATGAAGTAGTGAAAATAAATTAATTTGAGGAGAAACTTATATGGCTTACATGGACTTTGTTAACTTTTGTCGACTGGTTTATCTGTGAAATCTTTAAGTTAAAGCCTATTAATGTCATAAAATAGACTTTGCGTTTTGATTTGGTTTTGTTTTTGCTCAGTTACAATGTATTACATGTTAGAATTACCTACTTGAAGAATGTTTAAGGCAAATATATTTTTTAAATGCTATCAGCTTGCAATTAATGATTCTAATACCATTCAATTAACCACTCAAGAACATATAACGAATTTCGTTTATGGAAAGCAAATGACCAGCAACTATGTTGATAAATAGCGTTAGCCACTGAAAAATAAGGTAAAGTCTCAGCAAAAAAAAAAAAAAAGTGTTTTATTTGCCTGCACCATAATTCAACATTGACGTGTGCATTTCTGAACTTTAAAATTGTCAGACTTGTCAGTTTCAGAACTGTTACAGTCTTGAACATGCTAATATTATACATATATATATATATATATATATATATATAAAACAATGATTTGACAACAATGATAATATAGCACTGCTGTCTGACGGAGAGGCGTCTTTTTTAGAATTAATAGCATTATTTGTTCAGTGCAGATATTTGACAGCACAAGAGCAGTCAAACTTTTGCGGTTCTTTTAAACATGGTAAAAGTATTTTTGTAAATACATAAAATTCAAAAGAACTGCAATACTTAGCAACTATTTTAATTTTATTTTGTTCTCTTTTACAAGTGCTTCTATACACAATGAATACATCCAGTTGTAGGCTAAATGATAATTTTGTGAAACAAGTTTTTGACGTAATAAACGCATCGGTGTGATCTTTATAATTATTTTGTTCTTATAAATGCTTTTTGAAATTATGTGATTATTTTAACTTTATCTTAAACAAGTGCCTATTATGAGAACTACATGTATCCCAGTGATTCTGAGTCAGGCTTTAATGTGCTCCGAACTGCTACAGACAAACTCAAGCAGCTTCTGGGAACGATGAGCCCAAAACAAAATCTCTAAAGGGTCAAATGGGGTAAATAAAATTAGATTTAGATAGTATTAGATTGGATTAGATTAGTATTAGATTAGATAGTATTAGATTTTTAGACGTTTAATTTTGAATAGTAATCCTATTTATTTATTTATTTTAGCAAAATGGAGTTATGAGTATACAAGGCCGTGGGTATTCCTTTTTATATTCACACATTCTCATGAGCAAAATAGGGCTTGAACAGGTTATTAACACAACTAATAGGCCTACACTTTTTTTTGCATTATACTTTTTTCCATTATAGTACTGTTCCACAAATTTCAGAATGTCCACTGTCACAAAATGTTAATGTTATCATCAAGCTTTAATAGCATTAGACTAATAAATAATTTTTCACAATATATGACGAATATAGGCTAATACTATGTTATCAGTGCCATCAACTTAGCTGAAATTAAAAGGAAAAAGGAAGAAGAAAATGGGAAATGCGATCTTTGAGAGAGGGTGAAACGTAACACATTCCTAGTTGTTTAGAGGGGGAATTTACAGCTAAGTAATAAAAGTTTACGACTGAATACACGCGGTCATTGGTTGCGTCAGACCACGTGGTACTCATTCTATGAACATGAACTTTGTGCTGTTGTCTTCCCCTGGATCTCCCCATCTATCGACTTGCGAGCTCGCGGTGGTGTTGAAATGATCTTAGCACCAGACATTTTCCCCGTTTTCTGTTTACTAACTAGCTCAGGCGGATTTTTAAAACGCTCTATAATACCATCTTGTCTCGTCTGTTTCATCGCTAGCAATGACTGACTGTCCTCAGACGTCGCCGCCTCCCCAGTCTCCTTTCTACCCGTCTCATCCCCTAGAGGGTGAAAAACAACCATGATAGCTGGAGCGTGAGGGGTTAGAGTGCGTAAATATGATCATTTCTCCTCGAAAGATTAAATTTTTCCTGAGCACAGGAGAATGGGATCCTGGTGCCGTTGCCTAGATCTGCTTCTACGCACCACCGAACGTGCGTCACACAGACAACAGCGAACGCTGGTAAGTAAATGATTCTACGCTCCTTATTGGCTTCTTACAGACCCGCAGCTACAGAATATGAAAATTTGACAGCACTGTATTCGAGTCAAAAGAGATGTGCAAGAGTGGCATGCAATGTATGTAAACGTACTTATATTGTGGCGTTTCCCTTAATACTTTATTGATTGTGAACGCACAGTCTCGTTGACAAGTGACTTGTGTTCTTGCTTTCTGGTCCTATTGTTGACTTTTATTTGTCTCGGCGACAATGAATATAATATTTTTAAGTTAAGTTGTCCAAACGGGTGTGGTTGTGAGCTTGTTTTCAAATAGTCAAATATACGCTTGGTCAGGTTTTGTATTTGATTGTGGTTATTTGATACGGGTGTGTAGGCTACTGGATACTTGAGCTTGCATTTGTTTACTCTGCATGACTTACTAGTAGGCTATAGCTTTATAAAAATGTGCAAATGAGATACATAGAAAACACTGATGAATGTCGGGCCTTTTACCAAAAACTGTATTCAACCCATATTATGGGACTATGGCTTGCACTCGTCGGACTATGAGTATTCTGTCATAGACTATAGATTACATTTTAGTGTAGCCCTAATTCATCGCTATAAGTCATTCGAAAATGTTAATTATTTATGAGTGAGATATTAATGTGTGAGTTCTATTTTGAAAGACAGTGCAAAAATGTAACTAGTCTCGTTATCTTGTATTCAAAATGATGTATCCTGGTTGTGTCCGAGTTGTAATGACAAAAGAGTGTCAAACGTTCACACAATCATTTACACTTGATCACCTAATTTACTCACATACCTGTAAAGCATAAAGGCCTTGTGGTACATAGCAAACAACTCATTAAACGATATAGACGTATCTTAATTTTTACGGAATCAGGATCAACAACCTCTCTCTCTCTCTCTCTCTCTGTCTCTCTCTCTCTCTCTCACGCACACGTGTTCAATCATCCAACACTGTCATTCCCTGAGGACTAAATCAAACAACACTGCCACCTTGTGCCTGCTCCATATGCAAGGCATTATACAGAGCCTAAAGTCAGGAAGAGCAACTGCCCACATAAAATTCAGATCTTAATTTTTATGTGGGAATGTGTTTGGCATTTGCTGGTGTCGCTATGTATGTAAAAGGTGTCTTTAATAGAAATTGCATCATACATTTGCATCAAAAGCTTTGCTTTAATAGCCTTCTCATCATGTAGATTCATATTAATATACTCATTTGAAAAAATATTTAAAGAAAATATTCATAATATTTCTTATGCGTGTATGGTGGCTTTTTACTAATTAATATTAGTGATAAATTAATTATTATTAAATAATACAATTTCAAAACACAATTACAGAAACACAGTCCGTTTACTTTTTTAATTCGTTTTATTGCCATCTTATGCCATGATAATAAAACAATACTGACAAAACATGAAGCTTTAGATTGAATAGCCAATGAGCTATGTTATTATGGGATAGAATGTTAATAAAATCCGTTGGTACTCCACTGAATCAAAAAATTAGAGCTGCGATCTTCCGTCATGGGCCTCTTGAAATCCACATATGAGGCTGGAATGGGGGGAAGCAAAAAAATGTCAGCAATAAAACCAGTTATTATGAACATGCATCTGCTGCTGGTAAAGACATTTTTTTAGTAATGGAATTGTTAAAAATAACTTTTAATATTAGAAGTGTTAAGAACAGCGATTTTTTTAATAAAGAAGGATCGTCTCATTTAAAGCTAAGTTTGTGTGAACTAATTTTCTCTATTTTTTTTTTTAAAGCTTGAGAGGTAATTTATTAAGGCAGAATGCTTCTGTGTGGGCTTGCATATGGTTCGTCGATGTGCATGTGTGTATTTGTGTGTAAGTGAGAGACAGAAAGCGAGTGGAGGGCGGGGCTGATCTACTGTGAGTCTCCTCTTTGCCTCGAAATAATGACTGTCTTTTGTTTGCCATTAAAAATGGAGTCTATTTCCTATTAACTAATCCTTGTGCTTGTACGTATATAAGGTGCATAAGATTTATTCATTTGTGTATTACAGTTATTCTTAAGGTTAATAGAAATGTTCTAAACAGGTTTATGAAATGGACACATTTATTACCATCTGACTATTATTTGTGTAAACTTTGAGCCAGTCTCGTGTCTGCCACCGCTATTGAATTTGAATCATAGAAGGGCATAATTCAGAGTTGCCACGAAAATGAAAACAAATTCCAGGCGAACTTTCAATTCCAAACATTTCCTTACAAGAACCGCAGGGCAATGTGAGTTCGCTCTACTTCAAAACATCTTATTCATGGAGGTCATTACGCGGCCACATAATTTCACAGAATTATCTTGTGCTAGTTAAAAACCATAATGCCCCTTCGGGTCGTGTGTTGTTATAAGTGCTTAGCTGCACATGAAGCCCTGTTACAGCTGTCACGTTACTATTATGGATTTTGTTTTTGCATAGATACATCGACATAGATGACAGGGTAGGAAAGTTGGGCTTGGATAAGAAAGCTAGAAGACTCATCGTTGGAATTTGCAATTGTGAACATCCGTTACAAATAAATAGGCCAATGATAACATTCATTTAACTCTCGAGAATGTGCAGACTAGGCCATTACCGAGCATAGTTAGGATGTGCATTGCTTGCTTTTTTTCCAGATCATCATATCACGTATATTACGCATTAGAAGTAAGTACGATTTTGGCGCACATTAGCGCGTAGTTTCGTAGAGTGTAAAGAGAATACAGGCCAAACGGGATGTCTATTTATTGCCTCTTCAAACGCTAAAACACAACCGTGCGATTTGTCTTAAGGGCTGCAATAAAACACTTAAAGCTCTTTCTCTCAGTCACATCAACATACCAACTGCAGACTAAGTGTGGTGTGTTTTACTCGCTACTTCATTCACCAGACTGATACTGTAAAATAGATCACATTATTAAAAATCTCCCCATCAAAGGCTTGCAGTTCAAAGTCGTTGAACCAATGTTGAACATCAAAGAGTCAGATATATAGATACAACCTACACTTAGTATCTGATCTCAATTCCGCCAAACTACACGTCGAAGATTATAGTCTGGTCATTTACTTAAACAATTAAATGATTTCCGAGTTGATAATGCTTCTTTAGTTTGATTTTAGCAGCGTGCTTTCCTGTAGACTATCTAAATATTTTTGCGTATCAATGGCATATCGTACTAGGGTAATGAAAATGTAGGCCTAATTAAATTATATAAAAAAAATAATTACAAATATAATTATTGCTGTAAAAACAAGTTTATTGCATTTCAAATATTTGAACTGGCAACTGTTCAATTTCCACAGTCTTAAAAAGGCTATGAATGAAATATGGTAAAACGTGAGCACGCGTTTTTCACGCAAGAAATATTTTTATTACACTTATATATTACTTTAATTCGTTTCTTTCCACAGTATACATGGTGTAATATTGTATAAATTAAATCATAGTAATACGTTATGGTCCACACCGCCATAATGACTACTAGCCTATATTTAGTCTATTCATTTTGTGGCCCGTAATTTATTTATTTTTATTTTTAATTACTTGTATTGCAGCCCAGTTAAAATTATTATTATTATTATTATTATTATTATTATTACAACTACTACTACTAGCTATTAGTATAAACGTCAATTAATTAACTTCGGATCATAAACTGATGAAATAGCACTTACCATATTGATGTTTAGATATTCTCCTTGTAGAGATTTGCCTAGAAGAGTTACATTTTGTTGCTCTTAAATTTTTTCCAAAATATGACAACCCATCAAAAACATTAATCCTTGATATTGATTGATCCCGGTTTTAGGTAGGCTACGTTAGGATATAAAGAAATATTGTATGCATTTAATCAGTCGTTAAGCAGATTAGCCTGTTTTATAGCTGCTAAATGCCTTTTCTCAATGTCGGGCTGGAAGTAAATTTTACTGTTCTGTCAATCTCGTGTTTTGCGCACCTCTTTCTAAACCACAGTTTTTGGCCTCACACGTTCCGTCATGTGGCCTGCATTAAGGGCATGGAGCATAACCATTCGGTTAAAACTAGCCCTTTTCCCACCACTGATTCTTTAAACATGATAACATAAACTGAGCTTTCCATTCATGTAGCTGCAAGTATTTAATAAAGCAGAACAGTTATATTTGTATTGTTCAACAGATCGTTTGCATAAATTATCACTGTAAGAAATTCTGTAAAAATAAACTATCTAAATTAAACGAATAGTCAAAAGTTCTTAAATTTTGTAAAGATGTCTCATAGTATTATTTTTATTCATAATCATTCTGCATACCCTACAAAGTTACATGCTAAAAAAATGAGCAGCTTTCTTGTCCACAAGATAAGAGACTCGCTGCACAGCCCCCATACATTCAAAGGGATAATTGCCTCAGAGCTGGAAGTCCTCAGTTGGTTTTGTGACTTTTATGGCACCAAGGCGCGTTTGACGCATTCTTTAGTAAGATGCCCCTTCCCCCTCCTTACTCAGGTTCTTTTTACCATTGAAATTATCAATACATTACAAATGGGGAAAGGAAAAGAACAGACGTTTCCCCTTTAGCGCAATAAAAGCCCGAGGAAATCGGAGAGAGAAACAAACGTTATAGGGAAATATCTACTGAATAACACAAAGAATAGTGTAGTCCTCTAACTTGTTGACTGACGACAATGCCGCGAATATTTCTAATAATATGATATAAAATGTGCATTAGCAGATTTATTCACAGTTTTTTGAATGAAATTGTGAAATTCGTCTTGAAAAAGAGAGGGCAAACAATATCTGTGTAGATAAGGCGTAAACAGCCTTGTAGCAATTAGCCCTTGGTCATTTTCTTTTTTTAAACAAAGGGTTCGATTTAGAGGTTAAAATTTGAGTTACATGATCCACCGAGTAGTTGTAATGAAGTAATAAAGTTGTTGCGTCGAGAAGAAATAGGCTACATATAGTTATGATTAGTATTGTCATATTATAAAATATAAATACGGCTTG